AAGTAAAGCCTCTTGCTGTTTCAGCAATTGATCCATATCGTCTGTTGCTCTACTGTCCCTCCTTTTGCCACTGCTGGGGCCATCCCTATGGGTTTCTATGTAGTCCATCAAATTCCTTGCCTCAAGTCTTTCTTCTTCCTCATCAAAAGGGACTGCAGCCTCCAGGCACAGCATGGTTATTAGTTGTGGAAAAAACAGCCTCCCCACTTTCTTACTTGAACATTTGACAATCTCATCCGTTACAATCTTGCCCACATCGATGCTCAAATTCATTATGATTGCATACACAAGTAAAACTCTGTCAGCTAACAATGTAGTATCATGTGTAGTGGGTAGTAAGTTGGTTTTTACGAAGGCAGCCCAAACTTTCGCTTCGGGGTTGAGGTCTGCTGCTATTATCGTCCTTGCTCCTCCTCTCGAGAGTTGCCACCGTGTTCCTTCTATGGCTACCATCTTCAAGGCCGTCTCAAGTTGATCATCCGATGGAGCTAGCACCATTTTGTTGAAGGTGACATACTCAAAAGATTGTAGGTGAAACAGTTGGTTGATGGCTTTAGGGCTCCAATCAACTATTTTTCCTCTTACTAATGTTGTGTACCCTTCTACTTGATCAATATTTGCGTAAAACTCCTTCACTATCGGCACTATAGCTTGTTCCCTTTTGTGATAGAACATCTTCCACCCTAGATCGTTGATGGTGTTAAGAAAGGACTCTGGGAATGTAGGGTAAAATGCTGGGAACCTTCTTTCCACCAACACTACTCTTGACTTGAAGAGTTCATACCTATTGTACGCCTCCTCGTTTGCGAATATTTCTTTTTGTGTTGGGAGGTTCTCCCTTTTGTTCTTGCCCTTTTCTTTTCGTTTCGATCCGGTGCCTGTTGGGAAGAGATCTTGATTTATTTCTTGCACTTCATCTTGCTGCACTTCTTCCTTCCCTCGCACCATTTTTTTTCCCTCTTGTTCTCGATGTCATGATTGTCGGTTTCAAGCTAAATTTTTTTTGTATCCTTGGTTGCTTGTAAGTGTGAAGGTGAATTGTTATCTCTTATGGAAGTAGGTTGTAAATAACACAAAGGATCACTTCTTGAGGAAATAAATACTATATTATTATTATTTTTTAATTAACATAGCAGTCTGCTATATTCACTGCTGCCAAAATTTTAAATTTTTTTTTATTTTTTTTATTTTTTATTTTTTATTTTATACACACAAAGGTAAATAGGCTGCTGTATGCACCTATAGCAGTCTACTGTTATTTCTTGACAGCAAGCTGCTGCAATTATTATTAATGTATATTCTTTTCTTTTCTTTTCTTTTTTCATAACAGCAATCTGCTGTCATTTCAATAGCAGGCTGCTATACTTTGGGTAGAAAGCAGTTTGCAGTCAAGTTGATCGCTGTAAATTTTTTTTTTTTTCACATGAATACAACTGCTACCAATTTTTTTTTTTTTAATGCAGCAGATTGCTGTAAAAAAAATTTTTTTTTCCAAAGTTTTCCTTTTTCTTATTTGATATCAAATTGGTGTCATTTTTTTGTGTTGGTGCTTTGATTTGAGGTTTCGTGAGAAAGCGCACAACAATTAGATCAAATTCATGCAAATGAGGAAGAACACGGTACTTCATGGCAGCATACACCGAAAAAGAATAACTTTGACACTAATCACAACTTAGTATGTATCAAATGTTTAACCTCCTCACTACTTTGAAATTAGCCTTGTTAACCACGTCAGAATCCACCTAATTCATCTACAAAAAAAAAAAAAAAAGCTACTTTCTTGGGGCATGCGAGTACCATTCTAAGATAAGTGAAGATAACTATTTATCTTAGAATTGTACTGAGATTAAAAGTGCATAAATAAAATGAGAAGAAAAGCTAACTTGGCTTCCCGGGAGTTTGTTACCAGTTACCGTTTCTTGTCAGCTCCCGTTTGCTCCAAAATGTTTTATTTTTCAGTTTTTTAAGCTTAAAGAGGCAATGCCTCTTTTTACTTCTCCACCCAAATATGGCTTCAGTCTCTGTCCATTCACTGTGAAAGGTCTTCTTTCGTCTCCATGTTTTATCGTTATTGCCCCATAGGAAGTGACTTCTTCAACTATAAACGGACCAGACCATCTTGATTTTAATTTTTCAGGGAATAATTTCAGCCTTGAGTTGAATAGCAACACTCTTTGTCCTTTGTAGAATTCCTTGGGCCTAATTTTGTTGTCATGCCACATTTTTGTTTTTTCTTTGTACATCTTAGCATTTTCGTAGGCTAGGTACCTGAATTCTTCCAATTCATTTAGTTGAATTTGCCTCAAGTCTCCATCTGTTGTATAGTCAAAATTTAACTTCTTTAATGCCCAAAATGCTTTATGTTCCAATTCCAGGGGTAGATGACATGCCTTCCCAAAAACTAGCTTGTAAGGAGACATTCCTAAAGGGGTTTTGAAGGCTGTCCTGTATGCCCATAATGCATCATCAAGTTTCACCGACCAATCTTTTCTGTTGGGTTGTACCACATTTTCCAAAATACTTTTAATTTCTCTGTTGGAGACCTCTGCTTGTCCATTGGTTTGTGGGTGATAGATAAGGTGTCGCCACTCTATGTTTTGTATCTCTTTAAAAGACTATTCATCAATCTGTTCACAAAGTGTGTTCCCTCATCGCTGATTAATGCTCTTGATACACCAAACCTAGTGAATATGTTTCTTTTTAAAAACTTGAGTACCGTCTTCCCATCGTTGGATGGACAAGCTATTGCTTCCACCCACTTGGACACATAGTCGACAGCCACTAGAATATATAAGTTCCCATAAGAGGGCGGAAATGGTCCCATAAAGTCAATGCCACATACATCAAAAAGTTCCACTTCTAAAATTGAATTTAGGGGTAGCTCATTTTTTTATATTGATATTTTCCGTCCTTTGACATTGATCACAACCCTTGCAAAATTCTTTTGCATCTTTGAAAATTGTTGGCCAATAGATACCCAATTGAAATACCTTGGCTGCTGTCCTTTGCCCTCCAAAATGACCTCCATATGGAGATGCATGACATTGTTCAAGAATTGTTGGTATTTCACTGTCTGGAATGCATCTTCTCATTATGCCGTCTTCACATTGTTTAAAAAGAAAAAATTCATCCCAAATGTAACTTCTGGATTCATGGAAAAACCTCTTCCTTTGTTGATAATTTTTCTCTTTGAGTATGATGGCACAAGCCAAAAAATTTGCTATGTCGACATACCATGGAGTTGCTGTCATTCTGCTACAGCTGTAGTTGCTGCTACTGCTGTTTATCCCAAGCAGCTGTTCATCTGGAAATGCATCATCAATTTTTTTGCCATTGACCTTTTCTTCCATGTTCTCCATTCTAGATAAGTGCTCCGCTACATGGTTATTAACTTCTTTTGTGTCCATGATTTCTATCTCGAACTCTTGTAACAGTAGAATCCATCTAATTAATCTTGGCTTCGCATTCGGTTTCATCATTAGGTGCTTGATTGCTGCGTGGTCAGTGTACACTTTCACCTTCGCTCCAAATAAATAAGCTCTGGACTTTTCAACAGCGAATACTACAACCAACAATTCTTTTTCAGTGATTGTATAATTCACTTAAGCCTCATTCAACATTTTGCTAGCATAATAGATAGGATGAAGTACCTTCCCCTTCTTCTGTCCTAACATTGCCCCCACAGCATGGTCACTAGCATCACACATCAACTCAAATGGTGAATTCCAATCGGGTGTTAACATTATAGGAGCTGTGGTCAGCGCTGTCTTTAATGCTTGGAAGACAGTCATGCATTGTTTGTAAAAAATGAATTTTCTATCTGACTCCAACAAACTACACAACGGTTTTGCATTCTTGGAGAAATCTTTAATAAACCTCCTATAAAACTCTGCATGACCCAGAAAGCTTCTTATACCTTTAACTGACGTAGGTGGATTCAATCTTTCGATAGCTTCTATCTTGGCTCTATCAATTTCTATTCCTCTTCTTGAGATCTTGTGGCCTAACACTATTCCCTCATTGACCATAAAATGACATTTTTCCCAATTCAGTACAAGATTCTTCTCTTCACATCTTTGTAGAACCTTCCGTAGATTATACAAACAAGTCTCAAAAGATTCTCCATAAACCGAAAAATCATCCATGAATATCTCCATAAATGTTTCTACCATATCTGTAGAAATGACCATCATGCAACGTTGAAATGTTGTTGGAGCATTACATAGTCCAAAGGGCATTCGTCTAAAGGCAAAAATTCCATATGGGCATGTGAATGTAGTTTTCTCTTGATCTTCTAGACTGATTGTAATTTGATTGTATCCCGAATAACCATCCAAGAAGCAATAATGTGACTTTCTGGCAAGCCTATCAAGCATTTGATCAATGAATGGTAAGGGAAAATGATCCTTACGTGTCACTTTGTTTAGCCTTCTATAATCCATGCAAATTCTCCATCCATTCACTATTCTAGTGGGGATCAACTCATTGTTCTCATTTGCCTTTACTGTTATCCCTCCTTTCTTCGGAACACATTGAATAGGACTAACCCAGCTGCTGTTTGCAATTGGATAAATTATTCCAGCATCTAGCCATTTGAGAATCTCCTTTCTAACAACCTCTTTCATCATGGGATTTAATCGTCTTTGTTGCTCAATGGACTTAACTTTTCCTTCCTCCAATTGTATTTTGTGCATGCATAGTGAAGGGCTAATTCCTTTTATATCCGCCAATATCCAACCTATCGCCCTCTTATGCTTCTTCAATGTTTCTAGGAGCATATCCTCTTGAGTCGAGGATAATGTCGCAGAGATGATGATGAGTAGTGTCTTCTTGTCACCTAAATAAGTATACTTAAGGTTAGGTGGTAGTGGTTTCAAGTCCAGCTGCGGTGCTTCCTCAATAGATGGTCTCATCGGTGAACTCTTTCTTCCTTCACATTCTAGTGACTCAAAAGTTCTGCTGAATTCACCTAAAACTGCTAACTGTTCTATTGTGTCGTTCTAGCTGCTGTTTTCTTCCTGCTCGCTTTCCTCATCATCCCATTCCTCGGTCGTTGGTTGTTTTGTCAATTCATACACTGCTGAGCATTCTTCTATCACCACTGGATATTTCATACTGTCATTGATATTAAATTCAACTTTTTGGTAACTCATTCTTAACGTGATGGTTCCTTTGTAGACATCTACTAATGTTCTTCCGATTTTTAAAAATGGCCTCCCCAAAATAATTGGAACATCATGATCGACTTCATAATCTAAAATGATAAAATCTGCAAGAAATATGAATTTGTCAACTTGAATTAAGATGTCCTCAATCTTTCCTTCGGGATAAGTGATGGACCTATCGGCTAGTTGTAAGGTGACTGTAGTCGGTCTAGCCTCTCCAATCCCCAACTTCTTGTAAATAGATAGAGGCATTAAGTTGATGTTTGCTCCCAAGTCACATAATGCTCTTCCTAGTTCCTTTCCTCCAATTGATACAGGAATAGTGAACGATCCAGGATCTTTCTCCTTTAGTGGGATCTTGTTCTTCAATATTGCACTGCACTCTTCATTTAACGACACCACCTTAAATTCTTCAAACTTCCTTCTATTAATGAGTACATCCTTCAAGAACTTCACATAATTTGGCATTTGCTTCAAAGCTTCTACAAGTGGTATGTTTATATGAATTTCCTTCAGAATATCCATAAACTTCTCAAAATGGGCTTCCTCTTTCTTTCTCTTTATTCTTTGTGGAAAAGGAGGTGATGGTGTGTATGTTCTGCTCTCTTGTTCACTGCTGGCTGTTGTTTGCATTTTAGGCTGCTCCTCAACTTCTGCATAATCCTTGCTGTGTTCTTTCTGTACAGCAGCTTCCTCATTTCTCTGCTGTGTATCAGCAGTTTCTTGGGAATGGCTGTCACCTTGTTCTGCATTTTTTTCTCCCCCTGAGTATTTTTTTTCCTCTTCTCAACTCTATTGCTTGACATTGCTCTTTGCATTCTCTTTTTGGTGTTTCAGTGTCTGCTGGCAGCTTTCCAAGAGGCCTATTTCGTAACTCAGTTGCTAATTGACCTATTTGAACTTCCAAATTTCGCAATGAGGCTTGTTGACTTTGTATCACGGCATCATTTTTAGCCATATATTCCTTTATTAGGCTCTCAATAGATGTTTCCGATGTGTATTGAGCTTGGGTAGTTCCTTTCCCTTGGGTGTTGACTTGTTGAGAACTATAAGCCAATTGATTTTGTAATCTAAAACCTGAAGGGTAATTTGCTTTAGGTGGCATTTGTTGGTTGTACAAGCTTTGTCCCTTCCATGAGAAATTTGGATGATTTCTCCACCCCGGATTATAAGTATTTGAGAAGGGGTTATTTTTCAGGTTGCCTTGACTAGCTTGATTCCCAACATAAAAAATTGAGGCCGGATTGCTTGGACATTGATCAAAGGTGTGTTCCTCTCCACAATATACACAAGATTCGGCTGCTGTCTGGTTAATTGCAGCAGCTGTATGAACTGGTGCTTTGATCATGGAGTCTTGCCCTAACGCTAGATTTTGTAAAATATTAGTCACCGAAGCTAGTTGAGCATTGATAGAAGACAAAGCATCAACTTCAAGTACTCCTCGAGTCTTCCTTCCTGGGTTGCTTCTCACATCGGCCCATTGACAATTGTTAGATGCTATTCTCTCTAAAATCTCATATGCTTCATTGTATGTCTTTGACAAAATAGCTCCATTGGCGGAAGCATCAACTACTTGTTTAGTAACAATATTTAATCCATTGTAGAAAGTCTCCATTTGTATACAATGAGGTAGTCCATGGTGAGGACACTTTCTAAGCATCTCCTTAAATCTCTCACAAGCTTCACTTAGTGTCTCATCTTCAAATTGTTGAAAAGTAACAATCTCATTTTTGAACCGTGCATTTCTAGTGGGTGGGAAATACTTGATCAAAAAATTTTCTGCTAGACTATTCCACGAATCAATTGTTCCCGGTGCTAAGGTATTCAACCATGATTTAGCACCATCCCTCAATAAATATGGGAATAAGCTCAATCTAATCATATCTTTATCCACTCCTTGGAATCGAAATGAGTCACTATGGAATCGAAATGAGTCACTAACTCCCAAAAATGACTTTAGGTGTAGGTGAGGATCTTCCAACGGTAGTCCATGAAATTGCCCAATGGTTTGCAACATTTGAAACATCACGGGCTTTAGCTCAAACGTGGTTCCTTGTATTTCGGGTCTAATAATGCATGGATTTAGCTCTTCCACAGCTGGGTGTGCATATGCTCGGATTGCTCTTTCTCTATCATCTGCTAAATGAATTGGATTAGCAGTAATTCTTTCTTGATTAGCCATCATCGCTGGATTTTCAAATTCCCGATTCAACTGGGCTCCAAGTTCTATTTGCTGTATATTCTGTTCTGTCATTTTCTTTTTCTTCTTCAACCTTCGTCTAAATGTCCTCTCTATTTCAGGATCCAAAATAAATTCCAAACCCGTAGGTGGGTTCATACACAGAATTCTGCAGCAGTAAACTTAATTCTTCAGCAGTAAATACAGCAGTAGAAAACTCAGCTTACTATGGCTTCTTGTTAGCTCCAGCTCACAAAAATCTACAACAAGTAAAATAACCAAATTAGGTTCCTCGGCAACGGCGCCAAAAACTTGATCGCTTGTGGATGTATATAATAAAATGATGTAAAATTCACAAGAATAAGTGCAAGTATACGCTATCACAAGTAGCAAGTAATAAGTAAATTATCGATTCCATAGAGAACCTATCTTTTTGGTTAATTTTATCCTTGGAAATTAAGTGAGTTTTTGGGTAACGTTCAAGTGGGTGTTGGAGATTTTAACTATTTAAACAAAACTAAACAGAGTGCCACTGCTGTAAAAAAAACAGAAAATGATGAGAAAATCAACTATAATGAGGAAGGTTCGGCTAAGAGAGATTAAATAGATAAGTTGTTGAGTTTTGTAGTAGATTTTAGTTCCTTTTAATAGATTCTCAAGCCCACTTCCGAGGGTCATGAATGATGATTATTTCCATAATCGTTGTAATTTCTATTAACAAGGCTCTAGGAGAATAATTATTCCTAACCCTTCTATTACCCTTCAAGTCTCCTTGCTATGGAACTAGAGTGTTAAAGAGGATTTCATTGCTCCCTCTCTTCTCCCGAATAAGAGAACAACTATGTATGTAAAGTAGCTAAATAAACAAACATGTAAATCATTGACAACAACTCTTTAATAAACTAAAATCATACCGTCAACATACTTAAACTATATAAAACTCTCTCGCCTCCCCTATTAAGTTTAGATCTCCATACAAACTGAATGAAACAGAGGAATCCGCATCTTCATCATGTAAAATTGATGGAATAAGAAAAGAGAATAAGGAAATAGAGAGTTATCCCGGTTTGTTGCCGTTCGTCAATGGAAGTTTCCTTCTCTTGAGCTCTCACGTCCACCTCTTTGCCCTAAGCAATCCTTGTTGGTCTCCTTTTCCTCCTGCTGTCAACAGCGGCTGGATTAGGGTTTTCTTCTTCTTCTCTGGTTTCACAGCAGTTCACTGCAGCAGAGGCTGCTGCTGCGTAATTCGATTTTCTCCCCAAAAGTTGGCTCCTCCTCCTCTTGGTCTTTCTTTTCCTTTTATATTGAGCATGGGTTCCTCTTTAGGGCTGAAAAGAAATAAGTAGTACACATAGGATGCTCCTCATTGGGTAGTCAATGACCCACTTGGACTGATGACGTGGATTTATCATTTCCATGTCATCCCCCATTTGTTTCCAAATTCGCTACTCCCACATGGTTTGACATAAATGTCTGAAATTTTACCACATCACTCAATTAAATATAAAATTAAGATTGATTTATGCCAAATCATATTTTTTTCATGTTGGACCGCAATAAACGATTTCATGGTCACTTGGTAGAATAAATGGAGTTATAAATGAAAAAATGGGGGAATAAGAGTGCAATATTAACTAAAAAAAACTTAATATGCCTCTCCTTTTAGATAGTTAAGTTAAAAACTTAATATGCCTCTACTTTTAGATAGTTATCAACTCACACCCTTGGTCAGCCCTGCATTTTTCAAGATTTTTTTAGTCCATTGTACATCAAGAATTCAAAGATTTTCATTCACAGTTTAGCATACAAAATTACCTTCAATTATTAGCTTCAACTCTCGTTTTGGCTTCCTTTCCTTTGAATTACGCCTTCACGTACGTAGCCTTAGACCTAATTCTATTTTCAATTTTCTTGAAATACACCTAAACCTTCTGGAATCTCGATTTTGAATCAACTTTGGATGGGTTTTGTTTCTGTGTTTATTCTTTGTTTTCTCGCTCGACCTTACGTAAATCTACAAAGGAAAATACCCCTTGATGTCTCTTAATCTTCTTCCAACTTACCTATTTCCACACCACTTAAGATTAAACCCCGACCCACGTGTTTCCCTTTTTTCTTTCCTCGTGACAGTAGCATGGTTGCTGCTGTTTGTTTGTTTGTTTTTTTTTTTTTTTCTTTTCATTATACAATTATTCATTTCTATATCTCTTTTTATTGTTATTATTATTATTATTTAATCTAGAATATAACAATTTACCACAACTTTTATGAAGAAATTCAAGGTTAGGGTTGAATTGGATCGATGGCAGAGTTCCTATTAATAATGAGAAACATAAGTGAGATTGAAAGTGTGATCTTCATTAGTGTTCACGGCGTTTCAACAGGATACAAGCTACCAACTAACTTCTAACAATAAAAGAGAAATATACTCCCAATGGGAAAGATTGAAGAAAATATACTACCAACCAATTACTAAAGATAAGAAGAAAATACACCAGGAACCAACTCCTAAACATAAGAGGAAAAATATACTCTATAAAATATAATCCCTAATTAATTATATTTATACAACTAAATATATTCCACAAATATTTTTATATTTTAAATCAATTTTCATAATACTCCCACTCAAGTAGGGGAGTGTATGTCAATCACACCCAACTTGTCTTTCAGAAAAGCAATTCTTTCCAAAACTTGCATTTTAGTCGAGACATAACATGGTTTGATAATTTCAATTTGTAATTTTTTTCGAACTATATGGCAATCTATTTAAATGTGCTTCGTACATTTGTGAAAAGCTGGATTGGCTGCAATGCTGCTTGATTATCATGATACAACAATGCAAGTCCGGAAAACGAAATTTTCAAGTCTTGAAAAATGTATCTTAGCCAAGTAAACTCTAAACAAGTATTTGTCGTAGCTCAAAACTTGGCTACGGATGATTTTGACACATTGATTTGCTTTTTAGACTTGTAAGAAATAACTGAATTTCCGAGGAAGATGTGTCAAAACAAATAAAGGGAGCAAAAAGAACAATTTGAGGGGAGAGATCTTTCGGAACAAGGAACCTTAAACACTTATCTTTTAATTCTCTTTGTCGTTGTTGTTCGGGTGAAAAAAAACATACATCTCATGAGTATCTATAGTGGAGAAGCATTAATTTGTTTCCTAAACCTTCTCCTCAAGTTAAGAACCACTAACAATCTTCCTAATTAAATCATAAAACTTGGTTTACAACCACAAAACTTGGTCAACTATTAGCAATTCTCTTATAGTTGCTCTATAAGTTAGTAACTTATTCTACTAAGTCAAGTTTATAAGCTCACAATCTCCTCCATAAACTTGACATTGTTCATGATTCTTCACTCCCATCAATTTCTGCATCTCTGCAAACTTAATCCTTGCTAGGGTCTTGGTTAGAATATTAGCACGTTGCTCTCTAGTGCCTACAATCTCCACAACGATTTGTCTCACACACTCACAGATGAAATGGAAGCGAGTGTCAATGTGTTTACTATATCCGTCAAATACCAGATTTTTCATCAGTGCAATCGCAAATTTGTTGTCGACGTATAGAGTTACCGGCTTTAGTTTACTTCTAGTCACTCCACTTGACAAATTTCTCAGCTACAACGCTTGGCTCGACGCAGCTGTTCCTGCATGAACTCGGCCTCATAGAAAGATAGTGCAACAGTTCACTACTTCTGAGATTGGCAAGAGATTAAATTTCCATTGAGATCAAATGTCATTCCTGTGGTGTTTTTTCTATCGTCAATGTCTCCAGCTAAATCACTATCGGTAAAACCATGTAATACCCAAGCCTTGTAGAAGAACTTAAAACCTAATTTTTCTCCTTTAAAGTCAAATTTTCGAAATTTTATTGAGGGTTTTAAAGACCAAATTTTGAGATGAGGTAGAAGAGAAAAATGATTAGAAATATCTCACAACTCAAGAAGTATATAAAAGAAAAATGGTGGAAAATTAGAAAAATAGTCCAAGTGAATCTCGGAGAAATAATTTGGTCATTATACCCTCCTCCCACGTTAAGCACCTGAATTGAGGTTAGTACAAGATAAGGAAAGAAAGGAAAGGAAAGAGAGGAAAAGAAAAGAAAAAGAAAATAGAGAGAGAATGTTCTAGAGAGGGAAGGAGAAGTAACCGTCACAATTTCAATTCGACCATGAGAAGTTCGATTTTGGCCGAGATTTCTTCATTAATCCTTCACAGAACATATGAGAAGTATTCTGGACCTTTAAATCGTCCAAAATCGTCAAGGAACGAAGAAAATCCGTAGGCAAGTTATTGAACTTTTGCTTTCGAATTTTCCTTGAATCTGTGAGAAATATTGGGAGTTAGATTATGAAATTTGAGTATGCTAATCTAGAGAGGATTGCACACATAAGCTGTGAAGGGAGTCGTGATCGAATCGGATAAAAAATAGGAGTTCTGGTGTTCGCCAAAGGATGTAGGTGTTGATATTTCTTACCAACTTTAGACTGAGTTTATTATATGTGTGTTTAGAATTAAATTACAAAAAAAGAAAGACCTACTTGTAGATGGATGTAAACTCTACAAGTCTCATGACAGAATCGTGTTAATATAAGTTATATAGAATGAAATACAAAAATACAAAGAAAATGGAAAATAATTGATTTTCTGGAAAATCGCAGCGCTGTAGAGGAAGAAGACGAACGGTAGGGAGAGGGCCGCACTTCGTCGAAAAGAAGGACACGTGTCAAGCATGCATTAGTCGAGAAAAATCATAGAAAACCTATGCCGGGTAGGATTCAAAGACCAGTGCCCACTATCAGACCTGATAACCTGGCGCGACCCAGAATATCGACCCGATTCGACACCTAATCATAATTGCCACATGTCATGCACCCTTAACTTCGGTTGACTGTTCAGCTCGCGCCATGTGGTAATACCTCAGCGTGCATCTTCCCTCCCTCATACACGTTTGTACACACGCATGTGTACGTGTGGGAGAACCTCCAACGCTCGGGGTGTGTGAATCGATGCATGAGCCTCCTTTTTATCCCGATTTGACTCCTGTTCGACTGTTTTTGTCCCGATTTTGATACTAGCCTAAACTTAACTTGATTCAGGACCTACCAGTGAGCTTTCAAGAAATTTGGGGCTCCCAACTAGCAAAAAAA